CGCTCGACGGCGTCGTTGTCGACTGTGCTGGCAACGTCGTCGGTCCCGACGTTGGCGTCTCACTCGGTGGCGGCGTCGTCGACTGGCTTGGCACCGTCGTCGGCTCCGACGTCGGCGTCGCACTCCATGGCGTTGTCGTGGACTGCGCTGGCAACGTCGTTGGTGCTACGCTCGACGGCGTCGTTGTCGACTGTGCTGGCAACGTCGTCGGTCCCGACGTTGGCGTCTCACTCGGTGGCGGCGTCGTCGACTGGCTTGGCACCGTCGTTGGCTCCGACGTCGGCGTCGTCGTCGACAGTCTGGGCAGCGGCGTAGCACCCGACGTCGGCGTTTCGGAAAATGGTCTCGATACCGTCTGAGCCGGCTCTGTTGTTAGCTTTGGTGTTTGCGACTGCATGTTGGAGCTTTCGGTAGATTTGTGGGATGGTGCTCTCGACAATGGTGTCGTGGTATTAGATGTTTCAGGTGTTGGTCCCGTCGCGGTGGAGCTTGGCACCTATGTTTATGATGCTCTACCTAACCACATGTATTGATGATAAAGGCACCTTTGTTGGAGGCACTTCAAAGCTTGGTGTAGCCGTAACGCCTGGTGCTTGCGCCGAAACTGAGCCGGAGGGTGTTGGAGACAGTGAAGGTGGGCTTGACACTGGAGCCATTGTATCACCCGGTAGCAAGGGCATTGTTGGCGCAGCGGAGTTGGGTAAAAATGACATTCCTGAACTTGGTACCGGGAATCTCGTCGCTGACTGAAGACTGCTCTGGGACGGTGACGGGCTCGATACTGTTGGTGTCGTTGGTGTTGTCGGTAAAGCAGTTAATGCGCTTGAGTCTACGCTCGTCGCTACTGGAGCCACCGAAAAATCGGATGTGGTCGTGGGAGCTGCACTCGTTGTCGCCGGTGTCACGATCTGCGTCATTGTAGCTTGTGTCGCGGGACTCTCGGTCGATGGCGCTGGGGTCAATATTGATGACGATGTCACTGTACGCATGGTAGACGGTGATGCGCTCCTTGTTGGTCCAAGAGCTGCGCTTCTGATCGTCGCAGGCACGGAAGTCCACACGAGAGACGTTGGGGTTGCGCTCGGCAACTCAATACCTTGTAGCGCCGGCATTGTTGACAAAGCGTCTGTAGCCAAGCTAGGCACGGGAGTAGCGATGGCCAGTAGCGCAGCAGTCGAGCCTACTGGTATATGAGACACAAATGACTACCGACGGACGCTGATGTACTCCGATACCTGCCGCAGGCGTCGACGTGGTATCTGCGACGCTCTTCGCCAAGCCCTCAGTAGTCGCCAGCATTGCCACCCGCAACAGACCCGCCGACCAAAGCATGGCTCGACCGTGCATGCTTGCTCCTCGTCGTCCAAGCTGGGCAAGATATAAGTGTGGCGTCGCACCACGAGGGCATGAGATGGATCACCCATTCCGCAAAGATTCCGACGCCAAATAATTTGCAAGTTATGGTATCTAAGCGGCAGGCAACAGTCAGAAGTATGCATCTTTAATACACTTACCAAGTCTATTTAGATAAATCCTTTAGTCAAGTCAAATATATGCATTTCAAGCTCTACCCTTCGCGTTTATCATGTTCCGGTAGGTTCTGAAACGGTTTTCTCTGCCTAATTAGGTATTTCGGGTCATCAGGATAGATATACAAAAGGTTTAAATTTCGGCCTGTGCCGTCCGGAGTCCAACGCAAACCGAAGCACCATCTGGCTTGTCGGAAACGCGGCAAGCCCGTCGTCGCCCGTGGTCAGCATTGCGGTGTGTGCCGATGGAGACGTCGCATGTGCAGTAGCCACTGCTATCATAGCCCAAGCAGCGAGCGAGTTCGCCTGGATTCAAGTACAGCTGCAAATCTCGGGAGAGGCATGATAACCCGACGCGACATCTGCCGAGATGAGCCATCGAGAGCTGCGATCCAGGAAAGTTTATCCCTCACCCTGCTATCATTTACACTACTACACTACTAGTACAGTGTACTTTTGGGCGCCAAAATTCCAGGCTTGAAAAGTTGGCCACCTGGCTGCGAGGTCAGCTCCGTGAGCATCCATGATAAGCCAGCAGCGTTGACGAGAGAGATGACAGAGCGACATGTATTAGAGGCGCATCGAGCGACGGACCTCAGTAGCCCGAGCCGAGGAGTTTCCGCACATAAAACACCTGTGCGACCCCCATCGCCACGAGCACCAGGTTGACGATGATGTTCATCGAGAAGACGGACGAATTGGCGCTCTCGGCGACTACAAAAGAGTGCTTAGGAACGGTCCTCGCCTTGAGCTCAAACCGTTGCGCGAGCTCCGCTCATTTTGCAAGATGGAGCTCAGTTGACCTGTTTTCACACCCAGTGAGTCGGCGAAGCGTTAGCGCATGCACCTACCCTTAAGGTCCCACACGCGCGTCTTGAACGCGGCGATCTCAACCATGACGTGAAGCCCAATTTCTACAAAACTATGCAAGCCGACATCGTCAATGAGCCAGCACCTTCGTATGTGATGATGGGCCAGTGATCGACGGGCGATCCAACCATACCGCTGAGGCGCGCGGAGGCATCTTCATCGCATTGCACCTATGCGTTGGGTTTGTAAAAAGTTGCCAAATGGACGTACCGAGAAGGCGAGACTTTGGCCACCAGCACGCAGCGTATCTAGTGACAGCGATAGTGACCTAGTGTTGCGCCTGCGAGCTTCACCGTACCGCTCACGAGGTCCGTGACGTCAAACGAGAGGATGCCGCCGGTTTCGGCGCGCGCGCCTTGAAGAATCGACGCCTGTCATTGCGTGTTTTGTGAGATGATCAAGATCTGGGCGGGTAGGGTACCTGGAAGGATTCGACGTGGTGCTCCATGGACTCCCAACTCATTGGGTGCTTGAGCCCGCCCTTGACGTGCGACAGCGTCATGTCCATCGACAGCTGCGACGTGTATTCGACGGAGAAGGACAGCATGATGCTGCATTTCATCGCATTAGCATCGGCACTTGGTAGCGAAGAACAGTACCGCGTCTTTTCACCCACAAGGCCCTTGGAAACTCCAGCAAGCGAGAACTCGACAAATGCCATTTTAGTCGGCTTGCCCTAGAGAGCTCGTCAGCTTGCTGGGTATCGAGTACAGGATAAGACAACGGCAGAGGTCTCTGCGATCATGTCGGAGTAGGTGCTCTTGGTTGGATCGGATTTTCAATCGTTGTGATCGACGCCGGATAGCTCTGTAGATCGCGTCTGGTGTTGCCGAGGTAAGGATGAAGGTACCGTCATGATGCGACTGCCAACCGAGAGAAAGTCAAAGGCGTATGAGACAGTGATCCGTCGCGACGACGCCGGGAGCTTGGAGAAACAAAAATGGTAGACGCCGCTACAAGCGCCTTGAGACTATCTAAGTCGTAGGCACGTAGTTTGGCACCTCTCGCGAACCGCCTGGGACGTGTGTGCGCGGGTCGTCTTGTTCCAGCTCTCGACGATACGGCCAGTCGGCGACCGAATCGCCACGTCAACAGCGTCTACGCGGCGTGAGGGCGTGAGGGCGTGGCCAGTCTCGGTAATTGCCATGTACCATAGGTCGTTGGCTCGAGGATCTCGAAGCGAAAAAGCAGCTTGTTCTGGGACGAGCGCGCGTCCAAGTTCTCGAGGAAACACTCCTAGGCATCGTCGGTGGTTACCGGCCGCAGCAGCAGTGCAGTCCGTACCTCCTCCACGGCCGCATCCATATCGAAGATGAAGCTGGAAGCTGCGTGGGCGGATGCCATGAGGGCGACGAGCAAGACGAGTGCGTGGAGCAGGACCGACCGAGACGTCATGGTCGATGATATCCAAATTGGGCGTTTGCGGCGCTACAGCGTTCGAACGGTCCGGATATCTGCTTTCATAACACTATAAACACGCAACTGAAGTGGATGTCGGACCGAAGTTGCACTGGTAAATGCATTTATTGTCTATACTTTCGACTGAAACATTCCCATCAGTACAGATGACACTCTCTTGAGTCAAACCCTCGCAATAAACGATTTACATAGAATCTTGTGCTACCGCCTTTATGGAGTGTATTTGGGTGCTTCTAGTCGAATGCGAACATACGGATACTGACAAAATTCCGGATATGCAAGATCCGCTCAGAACATGGTGAGAGGGACTCGACGGCTTGCACACGAACGATACCAGTATGGTCGAAATGACTAGTTAACAGGGAACTATAGGGGTTTTCATATTGGGGGCTTCCACTTGTGTAGCACACTCGTGAGGCAAGCCGTTGGGTCAAACGAAGAGAATGTTGCGCGATCGTGCGAGACACGAGGCAGTGTGCACACCGAAGGTCGTCGTGGATAGCACTGTTTAGCGACGCAACGAGCAGTGACACTCCATCGCAACGAGCCAAGGGTCAGACGTGCAAACGTGTGCACACCTACCAGGTAAGGTAGCTTGCTTGGTCACGATCGCTCCTTGGGTGTTCGTCCATCCTGCACCGCGCCAATTAGTATCTGAAGCGAGAGCTGTGCAGTCGGGTACTGCATGTGCACTGGCCTCATTACAGTGTATCCAATGGTGTTTTGGCTAGGAGGCACACGCGGTACTTTACAGTACTGTAGCTGGGCTGAAGTCACTCGCGGCGAAATCTCACGCAGGTGGTAACGACAACGTGGTGATGGCGAGGCCATTGCAAATGACCAGTGCCAATCACGTGCGATCGGCGTCGTCACATGCGTGCCAACTCATCGATCGCAAGAGCCCTCCATCCGGGGCGCTTAGCTCGCTTCCGTGACGAGGTGCCCTCTCAACTGCGTGCAATGCAGTGCCATTAGCTAAAACCCCAGCACCTCGCCAAGTCAACGTGCTAGTATTACCCTGTACGGTATGCTGCGAGCACTAATAAATATTGAAACATAGAAACGAGACCCGGCGGTCGTACCCTCTCCATCTGCTACGAAGCTCAAAAAGCGAGCTGGCGACAAGCCGGCCGATTCAACGATGCGAATTACGCTGGCTGGCACACCTTGCTACGCGCCCCGATCATGCATCGTCTGCAGCATGTCTCGACACGGTTGCAACAACTTCAGTTCATTTCATTACAGTAGTGCGAGCGCTGGAGCATGAGGAGGCTTCGAAATCCAGTGATAATGCCCAACGATAATGCTGCCACGTTCAATCTGCCTTGGTGTATCGTACAGGCTTTGGACTTTCGCGCGAAGCCGCGATGATTACATCCGAGGATTGAAGTATTTTATTTCAGACTCTCAAACCTAACTTGGCATTTGTATGCGTTTAATATCGAAACGGAAGCGGCTGGCCGACCGCATGGGTACTTCCCGACTGCATTTTTTGCTAAATATTTTATTGTGGATACTCATTGTCAGTGTAAAAATTGAGGGAAAAAAATGCTCGCGCGGAAGGCACCGACTGGCCATCTGTGGCATTATGCGGACACGAAGTCGCCCTCGGTATACAAACCCCAAGTGCAAAGAGGCCCGCATTAAAGGAACCGCGGGTGATACATCCGGATAGAGATGGTTGTTACAGTGTATAGCCCACGCTCTGGACTCTCATTTTTGACTCCCGGCCGACAAGCTCGAGCACGCAGGCAACGCGCCGACCTCAGACGGACCTCCAGCCCTCGACCATGCCACTGCTTCGCAAGACCTCGACGAACCCCGATCCAAACCAGCGGGTAGAGCCCGTAGCGTGCGGGTGTGACCTCATTGTGGCTCTAGATCGTCCTGAGCGGCTGGATGAAGAAGCAGAAGCTGCACTTTAAGACGTGGAGCCGCCGGTGGAACTCGCCGCCTCGTATGTCGGTATAGGCTCACGCATACCATGTAGCTTCTTCGTCTTGACGGCCAACACGCGCGTCATGTCGTACTACGACAGCGAAGATCTGAGGCAGCCGCGGGGTACGCTCGAAGTACGTCAACAAAGCCCTACAAATTCCTGCATCGTGACGGTTGCTTCTAGGTGCTCTCAGTACACCCGCTGCCGGGCGAGTCCAATGGTCTCTCGCTGCATTGCGCATCAGGGAAGGAAGAGAAACTGATTTGCGACACGAACGTGGCTTACAATGCGTGGTTTGCGGTGCTCACGCGTGCCGTGAACCCGGACCCAGTGTCGCTCGAGCTCACAGCCTTGATCTCGCCAACTGTACGTACTTTCTCGATACCCGGACGAAAGCAGTCCCTTGACTGTTTTGTGCATTTAGGATTCCACGGGCGAGCTCGAGTCTGGCGAGCTCGACTACGAAGACGACATTACGTACCACCCCAACCCGATCAAGATGGGCTACCTTCATGTGCATTACGAGCAGTCGGTGGGCACAGCGTCACTACCGTGGTCGTGGCTCTGACCGGAATGTAGTCGAATCAAACTGTGGATGCCATTCCTGAGGCCGACACGGCGCACCCTGACACCTGGAGTCGCTACTACTGCAAGGTTGAGCAGGACACACTCAACTGCTACCAAGATGAGACTCTGGAACAGCTATACGTCAGCGGCATGGTGCGTTGCTCTTTTCTCTCGAGTTTGTTTCGCTTACCGTGCGTTCTGCGTAGGTTCGAAACGTGTCATTATACGACGGTAGCCTCCTCGATGGCTCTCGAGTGCAAGCTCACGAAGCATTTGTCTATAGGGCGCAAATATGCCCTCTCGGTCACGCTCAACAAGAGCCGGACCGTTTATTTATGTTGTGATAGCATGGAAGAGAAGACCAATTGGCTGCTCACGGTACGTCGACGTCGTGCACGGTTGCGGGACTCACAACGTGTAGCTTGAGGGTGCGCTGAAAACCGCGTACAAACTCATCGAGAAACGACGGAGCCTTTATTCCAAGTCCAAGATGACGAGGTGCATATCGTACTGCTGTGCATTTTCCCATGTCGTTCGTAGCCACATCTACGATCTGGACCTGCCCCACGAAGATCAGATGCACCTCACGGACGACAACGCCGACCAGTTGCCGCTGGCTTACCTCTCGCTTGATGAGGACCTCGAGCTCAAGACGTCGCCGACCCTTGCGTCACACGCTGAAGACGATGAGACCGAAGCGAGCGGCGTGTGGATCTAACACTCCTTGTCTTTTGCGCCTATATATCTGTAGCATGTATACAAAAATATGCTCGACATGTTGCGTGTCATTGTCCGTGGGTCGCAATCAGGAGCAATTGAAGCGAGTGGCTGCTGTGAGTTCGACTACCGATAGCGTATTGTAGAGATGTAATTTTCTCTGCAAAGATCCCCACACTTTGATTCCTCCCCATGAAACGGGACAACCAATCCAGATCGGGAACGAATCGATGGTCGAGGAGTAGAGTATCAGCGCAGAGGTACATCGAAATGTCGAGAGTAGTTTCTGCAAAACTCTGCTCAATAGGAGCTGCGGCTCGCTTGCAATCCTATTGACCGTCCTTCTGGCGTCCATGTTTCTCACCCGAGGCAAATTTGCGTGCACAAACGACGATAAAAGGTTCTGCCCACTTAGTTCTGCCCAAGATCTCTCCTACATAATACGGTGCACTCATGCCATGTCAAAACCGACAAAACGAACAACTGACTTGGCAACCGAAAAGAGGCCAAAGAGGGCAAAGAGAATACAATCGATAGATCTGGACAAGAAGAAGCGATCCTAGTCATTCGAATCGAAATAGAATGCATTTTGACCAAGTTATCGACGGTGGTGCATTGCTCAAGACCAACGCGACTTCACACAAAGTAGAAAATCAACACGAGTCGAGCCGTCCTTTTTAACATTGACCGGTTGCATCTGATCTGCGTGTCCATCTCACTGTGCTGATTGCGCTAACGTATCTGGAGAACTCTGAGAGGATTGCCATCAAAGTCGCACCAGAGGAGAGAACGGAATTGTGTATTACGGAAGAACACCGAGTGCTCGTTAGATAGCTGTGTGTGTAAACGATGTCGTTACAACTATGTTGAAAGTGTGCCAGTACAGAAGCTCGTGACGTACTCGAGACCCACGAGGAGGAGCGAGGCTGCCCCGACGTCCAGTGGCAGGTCGAATTTGGATTCTTTGAAGTATGTATCAATGTCGAGAAGAATCGCATCGTCGTCTCCGTAGCTATACTTGATTGGCTCTGGAGCCCGGGGCGGCGTTGTAGTTGTGGTCGTAGTTGTGGAAGCAGGCATGTTGTTGAATGAGATTGATTTATGCTTGAAAGCGGAGCGTGCGAGCAAGAGACACGCACGTTTTCTCGAACTGCAAGTGCGTACATGATTGAAGTCCCGATCCACGTACAAAGCAGTCGCAGATTCTGTCGCGTCAACGATAGACATCGTCGGTGGTTGAAGTTGCGACTTTTTGCCGCCTTGCTCTCGCGCGGCCATGTGCCCATGGTGCACCTAAGCTTATCCTGACGCTCCCCAGATTCCACGATAACTACATTTGGTACGATAAAATACCGTAACTGGTAGACTCAATTAAACAACGACTTTGGTTGGGCGCTTGGGCAGGCAAAAGTACTAACTAATTAATGTCTCCAAGTTCGGAATGAAAAGCGCCACGATACGATTGTGTACTAGTAAGAGTATTTACACAAAATAAAGTTAATGGTGGAGTGCTAGCATCTCAGAGTGCCTTGGCCGTTGACATGCCGGCATTGTCGTTGGCAAAGACAGACCGAAGCCAAACGAGTGCGCTCGTCACAATGGTTTTGGCGTCAAAGTCATCGACATACACGCTTTCGACATCGAACGAAAAGTTGGCGAACGTCGAGTCAACGTCATGTTGCGGGGTCCAGTGGCCATCAGGCGACGGGATGGAGCTGGAGGTCGCGGCAGTAGACATTCGGGTGATTTTGCCGGAGAAGCGGTGTTTTGTGTTGTGAGATGACACAGCGAACCCGCATTGTTTGTGTGTGGACGTAAATTGCGACCCCGTCACGAAACAGACAACGTCATCTTTAACTTCGCACCCACAGAGGTGCTCCGTATATTCTCGTAGAAATACCGTTGTATCGTCGTATTCTCGGTCATTTTCCGTTGTTTTCCGTAATATAGGAAAAATCAAGTTTGAATAGACGTAATTATCGTATTTGTACGGTTCTGTTGGAACCGATCTGGGTGGCGCAGTAGCAGTGGTGCAGTGGGATTGTCAGCGAATTTTGACGGTCGCAGTAACTGGCATTGCTCGATATTGTTGTGATCGCGACGAGCACAATGGTTGTATTATATATGTGTCCAAAGCCTTGCGCGCAATCGTAGGGACCGGAATTCGACACGGTTTTGTGATACCACTTCGCACCGAAGAATTGCCCGAGTAATGCGGGCTACGACATTCGTTCACACTGCAAACGAATTTGAGGGAACGTAAGCAACTCGCAGAAGGCTCTGAATGAGCTATTTGAGTTTACGGGTAGGACGCACAAAGCGCATCGGAATCTAATTATACGTGTAGCTTTATTGAGGGGTGTGGTTGGATTACAGGCGCAATTCTCCATGAATGCGGGGCATTTGCGAAGTATCAGTACGAATTCAGGAAGTGGAAGAAACTGTCTGCGCAAAAGGCCAAGCGCACGATGAACAATGAAATAAGAGAAATGGAGAATAATAGAACGACAAAGGAGACGCAACGGCCCGAGGAGCATAATTAGTTCAGAAGCCATTACGAGCCAGATTACGAGCAAACGATCCCGCTACATACTACCCCCTCGATAAACGGCTGGCGAAAGTACTGCTGGTCCACTGGTCGAGTACGCTCGAAGCTCGAAAAGCGAAAGAGTATCCAACCAAAAGTGGAAGAGGTGTTGTCCTACTAGTAGACGCAAGCAAGAAAGCAACAAGATATTCGAGGCTCCTGATGTCAAAAATTAAGAATTACGATTGTCACCAATCCTATCGTTGTTGTTGAAGGGGCTCAACTATTGAAAATAGATAAAGCTACGCTAAATATAATTGTCGGAATACCTTGGTTGTGTACACTCGGTTGAGGAACTTGATTTAGGGATGCGGAGGTAGGAGCGCGATCCGCGGGACGAGGTGACGTCGCGGCCACTCGTGTTGGGCGAGGAGCCGGAGAAACCGACGAAGAGCAGGCTGCTCGGGCTCCTGTACGAGGCTGTGGTGCAAGTGAAGTTGAGCGACACGTGCCGCCTTGACGGCAATCGTCCATGGACTTGGCAGCGGTAGGTAGGCGCGAAAGACGCGATCGTTCCGATTTCGCCAGACGTTGAACCAGACGCAGGCGCGGAGCAAGGGCCAGAAGTAGCGGAACGCGCCTTGGTGCTTGTTGGACGCCGTCTTGGGCGTCGAGTAGAGGTAGCCAGAGAGCGTTGTCGGTAAGGTCACGTCCAAAGGGACCGTGACTGCGTAAAGCATGCTCCACACGTCCTTGATGAAGTCGCAGTATACGAAGTAGTGGCGGTACGTCTCGTGCTCGGGGCAGAAGAAGCACACTTGGTCGACCCTGTCGAGTCGGTGCAAATGCACCTGGAAATTGACCGAGCGGAGCATCACTTGGTTGACGGGTACCGGTAGTCGGAGCTCAGCTGCGGAGGCTACGGCAGCAGGAGTCTCGTAAAGGTCGTCGCCGACGCTTAGGGGGCGGGTCGGAAGCTGTGAGCGCGTCTTTGACGGGGCACGTCGACGGCGGGCTTCAGCAGGCGTCGTTTGTGCGGCTCACCAATCCTTTCGTGCATGATGCTCAAGTGCGCGAATCAAGGTTCGATGCAATCGAGAAGCATGCTTTTTAAAACAAAAGTCTAAGGTAGCGATGAACTCGCACTGATATAGCTTTAAAATATTAGTATAGTACTACAAACGTCACTCCAGAAGGCTCGTTACGCAGCCGTTGGTGGTGCCGAGGTCATAAAGAGATGCTTGAGGTATTCGAGGCCAGCAACAAAGACCGACGCGGCGTCCATGTCGTCCATGTTGTCGTCCGTTTCAAAAGTAAAGTCGTGGAAGTACGTGTAGATGTTGGGCAACTCGACGTCGTCGTCGCTGGCATAGTGCACGCGAAGCGCGTTAATAGAGTTGCTGCTAAGCGCTGGCGCGGGAAGGATCGTGTCGAGAGAGGCAGGCATGGTTTTGGAAAGTGACAACAACTGACAAACCGACCCGAATCGGTGGGGATCGGTACTTGAACGCTTGTCGTTGCTACGTGGCACTTGCGCTTGTTGCGACTTTGTCGACGCAACACATCTTGGCAGAGTCATGACATATTTCGCGCGCCAAATCGTGCTTGAAGTTGATCGCTCGTCGCAGAAAAGGCGTTTCTATACGACCAAGTGACAGGTGCCGAGTGTATGTGCGCATCTAGCGCACGCATTTGTATCTTGCTCTCGACTCTCAGATTCCGCACATCATGGCCACTGCACAGCAAAGACTACAGTGACGTGCGCCGGTCATTTTGCAGTTGCGTTTCGAATCTCGAATGCAATTCGGCATTCTGATGTGTGGTATGACTTTTTGCATTTGGTGTGGCGACGAGGTGAATTGTCGATCGACAGTGCCAGCGCACGACCTTTTCAAGAATCTGACGTGTCCGCGTGCCACGTAGGCGGGTGCTGTTCCGACAAGTGGACAACGCGCCACGTCATCGCTGGTCGCTCTCCGTAACGACTCTTGGTGTGCACGCTACCTGGTCCCTCGCACAATCTCGAATCACGACCACTAACGCTCCTCGCTGAAGCACCAGCCACGCCTCAGAGCCCATTAAGATGTCCACAATATCTTTATAATTGCATGTAATATAATATAACTCAGGTCAACAACAACGCACCATGTAATTCGCTCAACAATAAATGGCAAATTGAAAGCGAATCGAAAAGCATCGTACCTTGGGATGAAAATTCCCGCCGCTAAACAAACAATTTGTCACGTGTCATGCTATCGTCCGCCGTTAACGGGAGAATGCCCACCGAATACTGCGCGTGTACAACCACAAGTCATTGCGTGCATTGCGTGGCCATATAAACCAGTCTTCTCTCCGAGTGTGATGATTGTTCGCAGCAACGTCCAAACCGTGCGTGCATGCAATATAGAAACGCAACAAAACTGCGACGAGCATCGTTTGCAGTGCATGGTCCAGACCATCTCGCCAAATTTATCTCCAGATTCAAGTTGTGGTGCGTCAACATTCTGTTTGGAATCTATCTAGGTGCAGCGATCGATACATTGTTTCGATTTCACTTTCCAAAACCAT